ACACTCCCCTTATAATAAATAAACTTGTCCTTTATCCATTATCCACTCTTGGATATTCTGTTACATTGGCAGAAAGTTTATTAATACAAAGGTACACTAGTATTTTAATTAGTTAAGATAATCTAGTGGAAAAGTTCAAGACTCATGTACTGAACAGGGTCAGTTTTTACATTTGTCCAACTCATTATAAAGGACCAAGAGAACAGTCCTGCAAAAGCATGCACACTCGAGGAAGCTTGTATAACTCACTTTCTGGACTCATATCTATTTTACCACCAAAATAAATAGATGGGTATCTCTGGGGCACACTTCATCATTACACTCCACACTCTTGTTCTGACCATTGGTGAAACTCTTCTGGTGACTCGATTCCAAACAAAGAACGAAGAGAAAAATCATTGGGCTCTCTCTCCATTCTATAATCCCTAGGGCAGTTAATCTTTTGGAAATGCAACTCAAATCGCAGGTCTCCCTTCTACAGTGGTTCCTTATACTAATGCCTTCAAATCCCTCAACTGTTAATCAGACCCTTCATTATCTGGTCACAGTTTGCATTACTAGCCACGGTTTAGCCTCAACTTTCTATCAAATGCTTTGGCCAAATGGAAATAGATTCCCCATTGGTATCAAGCACTGGCCCACAGCATTTTCTGGATCTGTGCTGTCTGAGAGGCTAAGTTCCTTGAAACCATACTGTATTAGCTACATTTTGCTGCTGTGATAAAAACACCATGACTAAAATCAACTTATAGAAGAGTTTATTTTGGCTTATGGTTCAAGAAGGGGAGTCTATAATGGCAAGAATGGCATGGTGGCAGGCAGCCAGAGCAGGAAGCTGACTAATCAATCATATGTCAACTGTACATATTCATAGAAATGAATCAGAGAGAACGAACTGGAAATGGGGTGAGGCTATAAACCCTCAAGGCCTCCCCTAAGTGGGACATACTGTTTCCAACAAAGCCAAGCCTCCTAAAAGTTCCATAATGTCCCCACACAGCACCACCAACTGGGAACCACATGTTCAAAAGACTTATCCTACTGAGGACATTGCTCAAACCATTACACAGTTTTTTAATAAATGCTGATTTAGGAAATATCTGGTAGAAATAAGAACAGTTATGATAATGAATCTGTCTCAATGTAAGATTCAAACTGGTGAGATCTGAATAAAAGGCTTCTGTTAAGTAATATCTATCTGCTGAGTGCTTAACAATGGTGTGCTATGAAAAATAGCATCTCACTTAATCCTAGAAATAAGACAATAGCAACAAAAGCTGGTTATCCCTATACACACCTGAGCAAAAAGTCAATAAGATTAAGTAGTGGATCTTGGAAAGACATCTCTTTCCTACTTCAAAGTCTATGCTTATGACAATTTAACCATCGACCTCGCCAGCTGTGTTCCATTTTTTTCAAACTTCATCTGATAGTTTTATCCAATCCAGACTCAGCTTTTCACAGGTTCAAGACTGTCTCATTTCATAACAAAGGAATTAACCCAATTCCTTTTTAAATTACTCAAAAATCTTACTTCATGGAACAACAAAACTCACTTCTGTTACCACATCCCTGTGGCTTCTTGTCTTTGCCTTGAAGTGCTCTCCTTTAAATGAACGCTGAGGACATGGTTAGCAGTTTTGATGGAGAAAGGCAGTAAGTGACTTTCTCATTCTGCAAAGAGTAGCCTTTGATGGTGGAGCCAAGTTTTTAGTTTAAAGAGAGCAGCAGGTGGAAGAGATACATGACTGATGGATGGTGAGGAGATGCACACACAGCAATTGAAGAAGTGTCATAATCATATCACAAGCCTACGTGGCTGACGCCAGACCTTTGTTAACCTTTTTTTTTTTTTAACCCGGCATGGAGATAGTAAACAACCCCACTTCACAGATTAACTGTGGAGATTCAGTGGACACAGGAAGAGCAGTCAAGACATACATGGCTATCAGTGAGCACACAAAAACATCTCAGTGCTGTGTATGATTAAAGCTGGGGATAGACACTTCTTAAAAATAAAAGAAAACCTCAACTCATTTTCCGATCTAAGGTGTAAGTGGAGGAAAACAGAAACGTTCAGTGAAAGTCCCAAAGTCATATAAAGTAAAACTTGAGAAAGAATTCGAGTGGCCCAAGATGGTAGAAATCTCAAAAGAAAACACCTAGGTGTGGTTGCAGTAAAAGGAACCACCAAAATAACACAAGCAAACCGCATTCGCCTTGCAGTGAACACAGGGCACAGTTTTTATTTAATCTGATCAGTATCCCACCTGCTGCTAACAGTAACCATATTCAACACATACTCAGGAGCACTGTATCAGATTCAAAATCAACTACGGGTGTTCATAGATAAGGCAGGGCTGGGACAATTGCCTATCGTATAATAGAGGAGTATGAGCTGGAGAGGTGGCGGCAAATCTGACGGGAGGTCTTGCAGACTCCTGTCTTCCCTAGCCACCAACCTTACAGTGAAGTCTCCCTGGCCTCCACCGCTCAGCCCTATCCTTCTGACCGAAAAGAACAAAAGACTAGCGAGGACGGCTTGAGGGTGGGAAGCAACCACACCGGAAGCAGGGTGCCGAGCAGACTGACAAGAGGACAACTTCAGAACAGACTCGGGCACTTGAGGCAGGAGACAAGCGGCATCCCCACTTACCTTGCTGCGCCCCTGGGAGGCGACGCGCTGCTGGGAGCCGGGGGCCGGGAAAGCCTGGGAAGGGACGTTCAGCATCCTGGGCCCCCGGCTCGGGCCGTGTCCGGGCTCAGCCACCGGACAGGCTCGCCTGGCGGGACCCCAGCCACCACCGCCTGCTCCGGCTCCGCGGCCGGGCAGAGGCCAGGGCCCCTGACCCACTTCCGGGGTTGCCAGGGGACTTGCGCTCCATGACGCAAGCACGCTCACGGGAGGCGGGGTGGGGGGGCGGAGTCAGAAGAAAGGAGCTCGCGTTGCGGGGGGGGGGGGGGGGGGGGAGAAGCGCATGCTCGGTTAGTCTCAGGTCCTAAACTTCAGCACCACAAGGCAATGACAGCTTTCGGCTGAGAGATTAGAAGGTGAAGCTGTTCCTCAGCCCTGGTGCTGATCGAGTCCCAGGGTAATTTCTTGTAGAGCCCTGTTCGCCCAGAACACCAGTGCCTGTTCCTTGATAAACACCGTCGCACTGCTTGAAATACGGAAGAAAACAGCACTACCAAGACTTTCAGATTGCTTAATATTTCTCTCCTGTAAAACACTAAGCTCTAAGAAAAAGGACTTCACAACTTCAGGAGGTAAGAAGCCAAATGCAAGCGGCCTCTGCTGTGCGTTAAGAAGAAAATTTCACCTTTCAGCAACCTCTGTCTGGAAAACGAGTAAAAGACGTTTCTGGTCTCCGGCTCTACCCACACACTCAACATGTTCGCCCTCCCATACTTTTCACCCTTCCTGAAATCTTCAGTGAGCTCACAGCTCACCCCTAAATGGAATGATTTGATTTCCTTGTACTTAACGGTTTCTGCAAGGTACTTTTAGTTTCTTAAAGGAACATTTTGTCAGAACATTTTGGGCTTGGGTTTCTGTAACAAGTAAAGGATCGTTTGTAAACTCTGCACAACATATATAGTTAGTAATAGGCATGTAACATAAGACAAGGCACCTGATATCATCCTAATTTGTTAACAAGAGAAGCACCTAATATTGTGGGCCCGTGTTGGTGGGTCACTGGGCCTTCTTTTGCATGTCTCTGGGAGAATACACAGACCCACAGAGTGGAATCTAATAGAAAAAGAACATTTTCCCAGAGAGCAGTTCTGAATAACCCTATGCATTATCTGTTAGATACTAATTTTTCCTGACTCTGGACACATAATTTATTTCAAATTCCAGAGTTCCTGGAAGTCAAAATTGTGATAATGTGGTTTACTGTTAATAAGGGGAAATCTGTGGATCTGCTTAGTTATCCAAGCAAGAAGCATTTCTTAGCTGGCTAACTACCTCTCATATCCACCTCTACCCATTTTCATTCTGGAATATTGCAGGAAAATATTTTTTAGATATTGCCAGGCAAGCATCAAACTTGCAGATTTCCTGCCTCATCCTCACAAGTAGATCAGATTATAGGTTAATAAAAATATGTTTATTTGCAGTTGAACTGTTGATCAGGTGATTATATATGAACTAAAAGGACTTCATTATTACAGTTTACTATCTCACTTTAACCATGCAGCTTGCCCATTTTCTGTCTCATTAAATGATGGAGTAAGTTTTCTTCTGTGATGACTAGATAAGAAAAAGCAATCACTGAGATTGTATTTTTATTCTCATATAAACTTCTAATGTTTATATGAGAATATTGTGAGCAGGGAACTAAAGCAAAAAGAAAATTGATAATGATGTCTTCCAAATCTTAGCTTTATCCAGGATAAGAAAATAATACTTTCATAATCTGATTTTTTTAGACTCTATACAAATAATTCAAATTTAAACATTTGTTAAATTATAGGAATCCCTCAAAATGTACAGTAAGTACTGAACACCAGATTAAGGACAACAGGAAAATATTAGAGTGAGAGTCAAGCTACTTGGTACTTAATTACAGTCCTTAATATTTAAGAGACCCATGATTGTTTTTCTCACTCAACTATAAATAATTACCTAAAGCACTTTCACCATGAGCTAGCAAACATATACTAATGTATATGAGATTTTAGGTGCATCACACAATTTTCTTTACTAACACTAACAAAATGATACCATCTGTAACTAAATATTCAATTGAGATCAATATCAGCCAACAGACATCACAAGAGCCAGTCTTTAAAAATACTATTATTTCTTTAAAAAATTATAACTAAATCTAAAGTTGCAATTTAATAAACAGAGCAAATATATCCTGGTGAGCCCTATATTTTTATAACACAATCAGCATATTTGTACATGATGCCTATCTTAAATCCCAACATTTAATTCTAGTGTGGGGACAAAGAGAGGCCAAAATACTATAGTGATTACAAAATATTTTATTAATAAGTTATATACAAATAAATTAGTTTTAAAAGTTTATGATACATTTATACAGAAAATCCGAATCCTACACAGCTCCATTGTCAACAGAAGCAACTAATTAGATTGATTTTCACAGGCCAGACCCTCTATTTCGTCTTCACTATCAGAATCTTCATAAAATGAAATTGTAGCTTGAATTGGGAAATTTTTCAGAAGAGTTTCTGCTTCTTGATATAAGTAGTCGTAACACTTTGACTTGGGCCAGAACAGTCTGAAAGAAGCAGACAACATACTGTCCATATGTTTTCACATTCAGGATCTTAATTGTCACCAAACAATTGATTTCCACAAGCTCTCTAGGCTTGATAATTAGTTTACACATTTTAGAGACAGCCTTAAGATGGAAAGTTAAAGCTGCTACTGTCCCAGCCTTCATAGAGTCCGCTTGCCAATGTACAAATAAATGGTTGATCCTTTGACATCTTTATTTAAGCTATAAGTTAGATTTTAAAATATTCTGCACACTCTATAAGCAGAAGATGCGTGCCTATCTTAGTTCATGAGTTATGTATGTGTTTATTCTTGCAAAATGCAGAAGGTTAGATTTCCACTCTCTGAATTTCTTTAGAAGGCAAGTAAATCCCACCACTCCATCAAACACATGGGTGATGGCCAGCCTTACAAAGAAGGCACAATGTCTGGACCCTGAACAGGCAACAGTCACCCACTGTACAGCAGAAAAACTCTAGATGTAGCATATATATATATATATATATCCAATATGCTTGATCAGATATGCACAAAAACAGTAATTTTAAAGTCTGTGCTTCACAACTCACTAGCTGGAAAAGCTGCTCCAATACCAGTCTTTATTCCCAATCCCTCTTCTCTCCCTTCCAACCAAATCTGAGAACACTATATCAATGTATTGAGAATGATACAGGTTTTATACAACTAATTTGCATGTAAGCATCCTTATCTCAGATTTTTTAAATTTTGACCTTTATTAAGCTGGCCTGGTGGTCCCCTTTTATTTCTCATCCAAAAACAAACAAACAAACAAACAAACAAAAAGTACATAAAGCTGAGCTGACAACTCTTGTGAAGTCACTTCATTGTACAGCAAAGAATTCTGGCTACATCTAATTGAGTGAGTCTAACCAAGGAAAGATTATGTTGTGTTACATGTGCTCAGTGTTAAAGGACAGAAAGTTAGGCAAAAGAATTTATATATATTTCTAGCAAAACACATTAAAAGCTTATAATTCAGATGCTTAAGCAAGTAGCTATCAATTATTCATCTCCTGAATGTAGTCGTGAGCTCTTGTACCAACATCATCCACCAACCAAAAGGGAATAAAACATGAATGCTACCTTCAAAGAATTGACCAATGTGCAAAAACCATAGAACACACACTATTCGTCAAGAAAAAAAAAAAAACTGAAAAAAAAGGAATTTGCTTATCAATGTATTTTGTAATATGTAACTGGAATTTCCAACCCCCAAAACCATTGTTTGGTTGGTATCACCATGGTATGGTCAGAATTTCTCACTGCAGACAATTCTTCCAGGGAGGCCATCCTTTGCTCAGTTCCCTGTTCTGATTCTTCTGTCTCTTCTGCTGTACTCCATGTACTAGGCGGAGGCTGCTCATCCCTATGCCTTCTTTGAAAATGATCACCTCTTCCCTCTGCACTTCTTTAGGATGACCTCACCCACTGTCCCGTGTTCCCCAGCCTGCAGTGGAAGGCTTTCAGCCTGGCTCCTGACACGTATGCAACCCTCTCCCTGAGTTGTCCTGCTTGGACTCCCTAAAGAGCATGAAATGCAACAAATAACAATTCAGACCCATTTCCTCATTCCCCAGTTCTATATTGTCATAGAACAACACTCACCTCGTCAGCAGCCACAAATCTGGGAGGCATTCTGGCTTTTTAGCTGTTCTTCACCTACCTCTCAGTACATTATGAAGGCTAGCCTTATCCCCAAAGTACTTCCCACACCCACTAAGTCCTGCTGCCACTTCTGACATAAAGGCTTTCCCTCATTTCTTGCTTGTAACTACTTCCAGTTGTGCCTTGAGTCTTCATTCCAGCCCCTTAGTGACTTTTCTGAGTCATCAGTCTTCTGGCTAAAATCTATGACCATCATTACCTACTGCAGAGTAAAGCCTATAGGTTTCTGGACAAAACTCTGTATGGAAGTGTATAAGCTCTGGCCTTTTACGCCCTGCTGCCACTGCAGCTTCACACACCCAAGTTTCTGGTCCTTGGGACACCATCAGGAGCCATTCTGTCCCACAACCTCTTTTCTGATGTCATCTCTTTTGACAAAAATGTCCACTCATCTGGCTGTTGGAGACTCATCATAGTAACTATAACTAATATATAACACACCCTTTGTAAGCTTTCCCCAACCCTTCAACAGGTACATATTTCATGCCCTGAACTCATTCCACAACTGACCAAAGGCTGGAGACATAGCTTAGTGGGTAAGAGCACTGGCTGTTCTTCCGGGGGAGCCGGGTCCAGGTGCCGGAACCTACACAACTTATAAGCATTAGCAACTCCAGGTCCAGGGGATCCTAGTCCCTCTTCTGACCTCTGTGGATACAAGCCATACACATGGTTCATATACATTCATGCAGGCAAAAGACTGAGACACATAAGAAGAAAAACTTTAAAAGAGTCTGACCACAGTAAACTCCACTTATCATTTGCCCTCCCTGTGTCCTTCAAATTCTTTCAGCATATGTAGGTAATCAAGACATATCAACTACCATAGACACAGGCCAGGCTTTCTTTACAACAGGCCTACAGGCCTTCTTTTAACAGTCCTGAGAACACCGCCCAGTTATACACATTTTATCTCAAATAAAAGCTAAAAAGAATCTTATAGAACATCTGACTTCCTGTGGCAAGAAATAAAATAAACCAAACAAACAAAAGACAGTAAACAGCTGGACCCGCCTTGGGTCACCTTGGACCCCCTTAACCTAGTTCTTGGTCTAATGTTCCTATCATGGCCAGTTTCTCTTAAGTGTCAAGCTTGACCTGCTACAAACCTGTAACTGTCTACCCCATTCTTCCTTTTGGTTTGCAAGAAAACAGTACAGAATGCATTCTGTGAGGCCACCTTCACTGTGCCCTTTAAGGATTGAAAACAATAAAATAAAATAAAAGCTCAAAACAACTTTTCAGGCTTAAGATGTCTTTCATCTTATAACCCAGAGCCTCCTTCAAGGCAGGTAAACACCCTGACTCTGAGCTACATCCCAGCCCCACCTATTTCTTTTTCCCAATCAATCTGTTTCTTCTCTTCGAAACCAGGTCTGTTAGCATTTACTCGCTATGCACCAATCAGCCGTTCTTTTATGGGATAAGCCCTGTATTTCCCCATCCTGTGAGTAACAGAATCTTCGGAATGAGAACACAGAGCAACTAAGGGCAGATCTTCCAAGGGAGAAACTTCATTGCCAACTATTGAACTAGGCTGCATGATGATGTCCCCACTTCCAGCAAGGCCTGGCACTCACCTGACAGGGTGTTGGTATTGAGAAAGCTTCCCTGAAGAAGCTTCAGTCATTCCAGGGCCGCTGGGCAACTAGGAAGGAGAGGAGCCATCTCAGTCACCAAGCTTCTCATTGTAGAAACTGGGAAAGTGAGCGGCCCAGTGTCTAGGGTTCAGGTAGGGACTGTGACCCCGGGCCTCTCAAGTGGCTGCATTGCTGCAGAGAGTGTCCCAGCCTGCTTTCATACCCACAGGGCTTGGGCAGGCACCCTGGCAGGCATTGAATAGACTGGGGCCCCAAGCTCTCTCCACAGGCTCGGATTGGGGGTGGGGAGTTGGGACGCTCTGCTCTCCGAACCTCAGTGGGCTACACTGTCACTCACCGCCTGGGTAGCATGGGGCTCCGCCCGCTCCGATTTTTCTCCGGGAGTTCGAAGCCAAGGTCTCCAGAAGCCCTCGGACCTGCAGGATGGAAAGCAAGCGCAACCCGCGCACAGAGAACGTGAGCCTGGCCGCGGAACACAACTGCGACCGAGCGCGGGCACCGGGGGGCACGGGCGGCGGGCACAGGGCAGGGGCTGAGGTGAGGGCGCGCAGGGATGAGCCGGGGCCAGGCGATCCAGGCGGTGGGCACGGAGCGAGGGTGGAGAGTGAGCGGGGATGGATGGGGATGGTAAGTACCCGGGCTGCGCGGGCGGCGAGCGGCGGCTGCGCGAGGGCGAGGGCGAGCGCGCTGGGCTGGGCGCGCGCTGGGCGCCCTCGGTGCTGTCCATGGCGGGGAGGCGGCTTCGGCGTCGCAGCCCCGCTTTATCTAGCCCTCTGGGCCGGCCTCTGTCGCAGACCTTCGCACCCCGGGCCGCCCTCGTTCCGCATAAACAAAACGGCAGCGCGTGAAGGCGCCCCGGGCCGCGCGCGGGTGTGAACGCGTGCACATCCCAAATGGCCCTGGTACCGTACCGGCTGCAGGAGCGAGTGTTAATACCCCCCCCCCCCCGACACACCGCCTGGGAGAAAAACAGCATGCGCCCCAACAGCCAATTTCCCTGCGAAAAGGTTAGAAGGGGGTGGAATTAAGCGATTCTACACGTTTTTGTGTATTTCTGCAAAAATGCCGAGGGCTGGTAATTGCTTGACTCCTGGCTTGGCTTTTTGGTCTCCAGCAAACGCAGCTAGCTCTGCAGCAGCCCGTGTTTTAAAAAACTCAATACGGAGTAAGAAGAAAAACAAATAACCTTAATTCCTTCTCCCTCCCCGAACAATAAAGACACAAATAAACGAAGTGTCACTGTGTATGGAAATATGGAGAGATAATACATGTACGGTTTTCAAAAACTGTATTGATAAGCTTTGTTCACAATCTGCCTGTTATTTGAAGGGGATACAAAAATGTTCGGCAGCAGGAGATGAATTGTGAAAACCTGACTGTTACAGCCAAGAGGGGCAGAGACAGTTGTTATGTAGTCTCCGTGCCTTCCCACGGCCTCAAGACTTTCAAACTCGTCAGCGTCTCTGGCCAGTAGGCCCCCAGGCATGTGAGCTCTACCCCTCCGCCCTCAGTTGATCTTAGTTAGACAATCTTTTTGTGGCTTGGAGAAGATGTGGATGATAACGGGTCTTGGAAGGTTATGATATGAGACAAATTATTCTTCCTGTACTAGTTTCTTGTGGGAGTTACCCCTCCTTTATCTGTAGAAGTTCATTAAACCTAGCCCAGGAAATGTTATGGTTCAAAGTAAATATGATCTGTAAATCCTATAATTTCTTCCCAGACATTTTTAAATAATGGAAACGAATATCCTCAAACACTGCAGATTGAAAGACTTGACTGTAGGCTATAGCACCGATTCTCTTCACTCTGTTCACTTCATAAGAAAAGAATCCATTTAATTATTACCTAGGGGGCTGTAATGCTGTAACTGCCCGAAGGATGAGATATGGTTTTCTTCAGATAATGGAATCAGTGAAGATAGATTCCTATTGCCTGCCAATGGCTTAGAGTAGCAACACTTACTAAATGTCTGTTGCATGTCTGGCACACAGTAAATCCTTCCTTGACAGATGAAAAAAAAATGATTTAAAAATATTATGGCCAACTGGCAAGAAAGCTCGGCAGGTTAAGATGCTTCCTGCCAGGCCTGACAACCCAGAGCCTGCCTGGTTGGAGGAAAACAGTGATTCCCACAAGTTGCCCTCTGACCATACAGCAGAGGCATGGGAACCTACCACATGCACTCCCGAACACACACACACACACACACACACACACACACACACACACACACACA